AAAAAAATAAAAATAAATAAATAAATAAATATATATATATATATATATATATATATATATATATATATATATATATATATATATATATATATATATATATATATATATATATATATATATATATATATATATATATATATATATATATATATTATATATATATATATACAGTATATATATATATATATATATATATATATATAATGAAGGTGAGATACAGGAATGTATAGTTATTGATCTTCTATTACTGTATTATTGTCTTCATAAAGTACAGTACAGGGGGTCCCCGGGTTACGAACAGGTTCCGTTCCTAGGTCAGATTTGTATGTATGAACACATGCTATGTGCATACCGTATTCTTAAGAACAATGTTTAAAATCCCACTATATCATAGCCTAAGTCCTTATATACATTTAAAATCACTTAATTTAAGATAAAAGACGAAATAGAATAACAAGATACAGTAAATGAAAGTAAAAAAAATAAGTCAGCGTAAATAAAATACTGTACTGTAAATTTCAAGTTTAACCTGGTTCATAAATCGAACCCTGTAATCAAATATTTTATATGCTTTACTTTTGATTGAAGAAATGTCCAAAATCATAATTTAATTAAGTAATTCTTGTTTCAGTGGAATAAAAGGTCCATCAAGAGCCAGGCAGTGTAGGCTTACCTCGCAGAGTGATTCGACCTGATTCCTAACAAGCAACATGGGCCCAAAGGGCACTCGGTAATAGACAACACTGAGTACAGTAGAATCCTGGTTATCTGAAACCCATCCAACCTGCAGATTTAACTAATTGGCACCAAACTGAAATAATAATAAAGAAATTCCCCAAAAATCAGCTAGAATCTTAAGTTTGAATACGCTTTCGCACTGAGGATGAGCTTCCATATTCATTGTTATGATAAACAATAAAATTATACATACCATATAAAAAATACAATAGTAGATATTTTTTGTAAAAAAAAATAGCTCCTTCACACTCAAATCATCCTTTGGGCAACATGGCATAGTTCAGGCAGTCACTTAGCTGACTCACAGACATTTAGCTACCACGCTGGCTGTGTGTATGCCGTGGCGTCACATCTTGAGGAGCACAGCCATGCAGTTATATAGTAACCACCACCTCCACCCACATATACTCATGCTCTCATTCATCTTATTTTATAGTTTTATATTATATTTTATTTATTTCTAAATCACATCGTTTATATAAAAAGTAATAAGTGTTTAAAGTCCATTTTCTCAGACACAAATTTACAAGGTCACCTTGTAGCACTGTCCGTTGTAAGATTTATTGGAGGATCCTAAGAGTGAGATTCAACTAACAATCTTTATCTGGCACTTCTCAATCCCCATAGGTGGCAGATAACAGAAATTCTACTGTACTATATTGTGAAACCCGTCTTGTACTTTTGACTACGGTATTCAATATTACTTTTAGTTGAGTTTAATAAGTTATACAGTAATATATGGATTGTACTTTTTGTATATGATTTTAACACTACAGTCTCTCCCTCGACTTCTGACGGGGTTCGTCCCGGCGACCAGGTAGTAAGTCAATGTAATAATACATAGAAATTCTAAAATGAAATATGGTACAGTAAAAGTAATCAATAATTAAAAAGATAAAGTGTTCCTGTAAACTTGCCTTTAATGTAGTCAAGCTGAATTTTTTTTTTTGGGCCTCAAAATTTCATTTAACATGGAATACATTAATTATGGATAGAAGCAGAAAGGAGGAGAACAGAGCTAGGTGGGTCATCAATTTCACTTTCTTCAGACAGAGCTAACATACTTGTTTGTTGAAGGTGTGCATCATCTTTGGGGAGTGAAGAGGCAGCAGTGGTGGGGGTGTGAGGGAGACAGCAGTGGGGGACTTCTTAAATATATGTCAATTTAGACTGCACAATTTGCCTTTTATTTTCATTATGCAAATTTCCTGTAACAAGCAAGTGCATCTTGAATCAGTCTGTCAACTTTACAAAAGCAGCTCAACGATACGACCCATTTCTTCAAACATTTGCATCCTGTATTAATAATTGTAAATGCCTCTGCCATTGTTCACTGAAAACTTTTGGGGTGCAGGTTCTTCTTCTACATTTGTCTCTTCTTCCTCTGCAATTTCTGTGCCTCAGTTCAATAAGATCCTCGTTACTGAGCTCTTCTGCTACCACTTTCAACCAACCACTCAACATCATTACCAATTTCTAACTCAGTTGTTTACTAACTGCACTATATTGTTACTAATCTCAAATTGCTTCATCTTCATTAAATCGCTGAAACTATTCACATATCTTTTCAGGACCTTCCTTTCAGGACCTTCTTCCATATTCCATTCATGCACTGACCTGTAACCTCATCCCATGCTGCAGCTATGTTCTTTGTACATTGCAAAATGTTGTAGTCCTTCAAAACTCTGGCGTTTTCTCGCTTTCGGTAGCAGCAACAGCCTGAAAGCGAGGTGTTACATAAATATCACGCTTTAAAAACAACAATAACAATGATCCGCCAGGTTGGATGATAGAGTAGTGTTAATTAGATATGAACTACTATAACACATCAGGGTGGAGGTCGTCCAGGTGTGGTGGGTGTCCTGGAGCATTATCAAAATTATTAAATCTTGGCATAACCCCTTCCAGCCGAAGACAATATTACTCCTTGGCACCGTGGAATGAAACAACTCAAGACCAATCCTCAAACAGTGCTTGGGTCATCCATACTTTCTTATTACTGCAATAAAACACTGGCAGTGTGCTTGCTGATATTTTTCGCCCTTAGGTTCTCGAATGATCTATCATGAAGGTTCACCTGAAACCAGCTACATTCTTCCCCCAACAGGTGTGTGAATTCGGTCATGAATGCCTTGAATCGGCATGGTTTCGCCTCTTTGTGGATGTATGTTCATTCTGGCATGCGTTTCCAAGAATAAGCCAGTTCATCATTAAATGCTATTGCTCAGGCAAATATAATTTCCCTCCGCGATGACCGCGATCTAGCTCCTCCTTAAAAGCGGCCGGCACCCACATCAGCACTTGCTGCCTCTCCACTCACCTTTACACTGTGCAAACTGTAACGTTCTTAAACCTTTGGAACCACCCATGACTTGCTGTAAGGTTGCTCACACTCATCTCCTGCCTGCTCCTTCAGGCTTTTTCCGAAAAACTTCTTGCCTTAGCCTGTATGAGTTAGAAGCAGGGTATCTTTTGCAGCTGATCAACTTCCATCCATATCACAGTAATTTTCTCCATCTCATGAAGGACTTTGTCTTTTTTCGTTATTATTGTTCCTTTATAGGTGCTGATCCTTTCACTACCTCCACCAATTCGTTCATCCTTCAAAATTGTTGATATCATCGAATGAGAGAAGCCAGATCGCGTGAAATGGTTGCTACCATTTTCCATTTCATATTGCATTATTATTTTCATTTTCCATCAAAAGTAACTGACTGTCTCTTTTCTTCTCAGCTACGAGAACTCTCACTTTTTTTGCTTGCCAGTCATTTTAAGGGGGTACAACAGAAATTTTGTCAGTACCACAGCACAATCACTAAACGACAGCTTAACCAAGGCCAAACACCAACTGAAAGCGGAGACTCACGTCGTGGATGCTGTATTACACCATGATGAGGCGTGCCCAGCCCATGCTTGTCGTACGACCCAAACGTTTGGGTACTAGGGGCAGTGTGTTTGTCTTGCAGTGATCCCTTAAATCCACTTGTTCCTCAACATTAGAATAAAAATGTAAAATAAACCTTTACAATACAACTCCAACACAACTATTCATCTAACTTTCATTCAACTACGGTCATGATATTGTTTTCCATGCTGAGATATACACCTATAATTCATTCACCTTTCTATACTTAATCCATTCACCTATCATGCTATACCTAATTCATTCACCTATCATGCTATACCTAATTCATTCACCTATCATGCTATACCTAATTCATTTCACCTATCATGCTATACCTAATTCATTCACCTATCATGCTATACCTAATCCATTCACCATCATGCTATACCTAATTCATTCACCCATCATGCTATACCTAATTCATTCACCTATCATGCTATACCTAATCCATTCACCTATCATGCTATACCTAATTCATTCACCTATCATGCTATACCTAATTCATTCACCTATCATGCTATACCCAATCCATTCACCTATCATGCTATACCTAATTCATTCACCTATCATGCTATACCTAATTCATTCACCTATCATATTATACCTAATTCATTCACTTAACATATTTATTGATCAAGTGCTTTATATATTATCCACCAGGTAATCTAGGATTAAAAGGATTTAAAGGTATCCAAGGTGACACAGGCTTTGATGGACGAGATGGACCAAAGGGTGTTCCTGGTACAAGCAGGTCTGGACCACCGGACCGAAGGGTACCAGGACAGGTTGGAGATCCAGGCTTAGTGGGTCCTAAGGGAAACCTGGGCCAGAATGGCATTCCTGAGTACATGTGAGCACTGTGCATGTTTAGTTCTGTGTTTTTACCTTATATTTTTTAAAATGTTTGAATTTTGATTATTATAAATTTTCAATTGCTTGTATAAATCTTGACTGTATAGTGTGGGTTTGGGTTTTTCCTGTTTATTATTAATGTAGTTTTCCCAAGATATTTGTTACTGTTACTTTTTTGCTTTTTATTTAATACTTTATATATTTTTTGCTTTCCTACCATGTCAGGTGAAAAATCATTATTTTGGCATTAGAAAATTTAAGATAACTCCTTTATTTCTGTGTGCCAGTTATTGATGCTGGCTTTTTGTGTGTGTGTAAGCTAACCTGAGGGGTTGGGAAGCTTTTATTATACATTATATAAAGTTTGCAGAAAACCAATTAAATTTTATGTGATTTGGGTTTCATAAAGGAACTAGTATTTTTTGTTAGTGATGGGCAGGAACTTGGCTATACAGTATGTCTTTTTAACAGGAAGCCGTGTGGTAATAAGGGAAGATGGGAAGGTGGCATCAGTGACAGTAGGACTCCAGGATTGCCTTCAAACCAGGAGCAAGAGACCAGGTTTTGATGGAGGGCAGGAAGGTAAAGGCTTTTTATGTGGTTTTACCTGGGCTCCTAATAAGCTTAAAGCTCTCAAAACCTCGTTGCTTCAGGCTTCAAGGTTGCTTTTATAAATGCATTGCCAATGAGTTTATTTTTAGACTCTTTCAATAGTGAATTTATGCGGGTACAGGGTTATTTTTTAACAAATACTTGTACAGTAAAACATGGAGAGATCAGACAATTGTCAATGTTGAATATTCTATTGGGCATCCATCCCTTACCAAATTGCTACTTGATGTTTGAGGCAGTACCCCCAAACACACCAGTGCTGTACCCTCCCCCAAACACACCAGTGCTGTGCCCCTCCCCAAACACACCAGTACTGTGCACCCCTCTTTAAACACCCAGTCTGTGCACCCTTCCACACACCAGTACTGTACACCCCTCCCCAAACACACCAGTACTGTACCTCCTCCCATTTTTGTGTGGGTGTGTTTTGTTTTGTGTGTTTGTGTGTGTTTGTGTGTTTGGTTGTTTGTTGTTGTTGTTTTAACACACCAGTACTGCCCCCCCAAAACTTGCACCAGTACTGTACCCTCCCCAAACACACCAGTGTGTACTGTGCTGTACCTCCCCAAACACACCAATTGCTGTACACACCCCTCCTGAAACACCAGTACTGTCCGTCACACCTCTAAACACACACCAGTGCTGTACACCCCTCCTAAGCCACCAGTACTGTACTTACACCTCCCCTGAAGCACACCAGTACTGTACCCTCTCCACTGTTCTGTCATACACCAGTACTGTACCCCTCCCCCGTTGTGTCAAACACACCAGTACTGTACACCTACAAAACACGCCAGTGCTGTCATCCCCAAAACTGACCAGTGCTGCCCCTCCCCCAAACACACCAGTGCTGTACACTCCTTCCCAGCTTGCAGTACTGTACCTCCTCCCAACCTGTTTTCTTTGCCCCAAAACACACCAGGACTGTGCACCCTCTCCCCAAACACACCAGTACTGTACCCCCAAAACACATAGGACTGCACCTCCCCCCCGACACCAGTACTGCTTTCTGCCCACTCCAAACACCAGTCTGTGCACCCTCCCACCAAACACACCAGTGCAGTACACCCCTCCCCCCAAGCCACACCAGTGCTGCCCTCTCCCCCAAACACACACCCCCAAAACACCAGGACTGTGCCCTCACAAACCCACCGTGCTGTACTGTACCTCCCCAACCACCAGTACTGTACCTCCTAAACCAGTACAGTACACCCTCCCCAAACCTGATGCTGTACCTCTGTTGCTGTGCCAGTACTATACCCTCTCTGGCCACAGTACTGTGCACCCTCTGGACACCATTTGTACCTCCCACCGACACACCAGTGCTGTGCACCCTCCCACAAACACACCGGTACCAGTGCACCCCTCTCCCAAACACACCTCGTACCCAGTGCACCTCCCCCAAACACACCAGTGCTGCCTCCCCAAACACATGTTGCTGTGCACCCTCTCCCCAACACACCAGTACTGTACACCCCCAAAACACACCAGTACTGTACACCCCTCCCCCAAAACACACCAGTGCTGTACACACCTCCCCAAACACACCAGTACTGTACACCCTCCCCAAACACACCAGTGCCCACACCCTCCCCCAAACACACCAGTACTGTACTGCATTACACACCTCCCCAAATACACCAATTACTACACACCTCCCCCAAACACGCCAGTACTACACACACCTCTGGCTCCCACACACAGTACTGTGCCCCTCCCCAAACACACCAGTACTGTGCACCCTGCTACACGCGGTACTGTGCCCTGCTCCCCAAACACACCAGTACTATACACCCTCTTTAAACACACCAGTACTGTACACCCTCCCCCAAACACACCAGTGCTGGCCACACCTCTCCCCCAAACACCAATTACTACCCTCCCCCAAACACACCAGTGCTAACACCTCCCCCCCAAACACACCAGTGCTGTGCCCCTCCCACCAAAACCCACACCAGTGCTGCACCTCCACCAAACACACCAGTACATGCACCCCTCCCCCAAACACACCAGTGCTGTGCACCCCTCCCCCCAAACACACTGTACACCCTCTCCCCAAACACACACCAGTACTATACACCCTCCCCCCCCAAAACACACCAGTACTAACACACACTCTCCCCAAACTACACCAGTACTGTACACCCCTCCCCAAACACACCAGTGCTGTACACCCCTCTCCCCAAACACACCAGTACTGTACACCCCCCCAAACATACCAGTACTGTACACACCTACCCAAACACACCAGTACTGTACCTCCCTCCTCCCAAACACACCAGTACTGTACACCTCCCCCAAACACACCAGTACAATTTTACATTTCTTTATGCAAATGTATTCAATCCATATAATATCATTGTTCTAAATCAAATGTAAGTCTATGTTCTTTT